AGGAAGAGGTCTCAACTAAACTATTGCATACTTTATGAAAACAGGCAGACAGGCAGGGAGACCCTAATAACGCCCCCGCAGAGGGATACGCTGCAGCCTGAAGCTAACCGTGTTAGGCTCAGTTTAAATACACCAATCTAGAAAAAGCATGATTTTGTTTCTGTGGCTCATGGAGCTTCTTGTTTGACTTAGACACTTACAGCACAGCCACTGGGGTGGTAGGAGCGTTCCCTGATCATGCAGTCCTGTCAGACAAAGAGATTGTCCACAGGCTTACATAGGAGGGTCCAGATGTGTATCATTTCTTATATTTTCTCCGTTTTTCTTAATTTTGTTTCTGTCAAATAAATGTCTAAACCATGACACTCCCGTAAAGCTATAAAAGAACAATATAATTATCAGCAAAGAAAGTAATTTAATTTTTAAGCTGATGGTTAATTATTCCTACGCTAAAACATTCTCAAAATTTTAAAGAACTGGTCTAGCAACATATTGAAGCTGCCAACAGTTGAAAACTACAGAAGGATACCTGAGCAAGAAGATAAAGGCACATATCTTCTAACGGTTGAAATACATTAGGGATCGAGAGTTGATGTTAAAACAGAGAAGTATTTTGCCCAATAAGAAAGAACTTTCTCACATACGAATGTTTAAAATGTGTATAGCAAAAGAATGAGGAAGAAAAAACAAGATTTTTAAATGACAGTGGCAGGCCCGCAGTTGCTGTGATTATCAGCAGCCCCTGCCTGTGAGGGGAAGACTGTTCCACCATGTTAGTCAGAGCGGCATTCGTGATCTGGAGCAGTAGTTCTCCTTTATTTCTGTGGGAAAGAGCCTTAGATGATCAGTTAGAATAATATGTAATGCCATTTTGCAGAGTCAGAAGTAATATTTTGCTGAACAGGACTACGTTGTCCATGGTCTAATTTGCAGCCTTTTGTTCAGATGCTGGGAAGCTCCTTGCTGACTATGGGTCAATTGTTAGTTCAGACAATGAACTAACTGGCTATGTATTACCAGATAATTTGTAACTCTCTGAGAACTGTCTCTGTGCTGAAAGGTGGGTTTTCTGGATGGGGCCAGGGAGGGGACAAGAAGAGCAAGTGCGTCCTTTTTTTTAAAAAACATTATATGAAAATGTTTGGTCTGGATTCAAGCACAATTCTACAAAATCCTGAACTCTTCAAATTATCATCAGCTAACACTGAATTTAGCTTCTTGCAGGGCTGTGGCAACGCAAGATATAAATGGCACTTAAGTGTAGAAATTTGATTAGAAAGTTAATACACTGTTTTAGAGAATTCCATTATTTAAATTTATCTAATTCCAGTGTTTAATTTTTATAATTACTTTATCCAAAGTAGTTGCTGGTTTTCTTGACTGATCAGTTAAGTAAGTAACAAACAGTGATTTCTGTATTTCTCATTAAAGCCATGATACAAGAACAGGCATGTAAAGGCCAAATTAAACTGTCCTGTTGACAGTACACTGAAGATATTTGCATGTAATTGCAGCATCCTCCAATTAAGTACTAGGAATAAATTGTTAAATTATGATGACTAGCCGAAGTTTTGAGCTAGTTATGTTATCTAGAATATTGACCTCTTTATTATTAAATTCTAGTATTTTAAAGGGTACTTTAAGAATGTGTTTAAAAAAATCTATTTCAAATGTAAAAGCTAATGTGATTTACAGATACACTTTTATAAATACATTATTATAAAGAATTAATCAGTTTTAGCTGCTGGCACAAATGTTCTGCTCAAATTATTTTGTTATTGTCTACTAAAATTATTTTTGAATCCCAGTGTAAGAAGATTTTAGGGTGTAAATTATGGGAAGAGTAAAGGCCACATTGATAGTCAAACCTGGCTTAGCCCCCAATTCCAATACCCTGTGAATATTTTGAAGAATCTTAATGGATTTTATATAGGTTTTTATATAGATTTTATATGGATTGTACATATATTTATCCAAATCCATAGTCATTAACTTCATCTGTCTCTGAGGTTAAGACCGGTAGTCTTCCAACAGTGTACAGAGGCAATGTATACATGGCCAGACATGGCATTTGTTTTATTGAGGCGTAATTTTGGCAAGTTTAAAATCCAGAAAATTCTTAGTTCTACCATGGCTTTATGATTCATTGCATTTATAGCAGAGGCTCCAGTTATTGCTCCAGCATTTGTGTGGATCTGTGTTAGTAGGAATACATTTTCTTTTCCCTCTGAATCTCAACCTGATTATTCATCACCAAAAACATAGTGCCTCTAAGGAAATCTTCCAGGGAAGCATGTAGAATCAGCAAGTTTTATTTCTAATTAGACTCAAGGTTACCCTTTTAAGGTAAGAAATGGCTCCGTTTTCTTGGAATGAGTTTCAATAGTAATGTGCAACCAATTAGAGTTCACCTGTCCCATGAACAGCCTGACTCAAATTTATGTGCCTGACAAAAACACTTCTCCTTTGTTTTTTTTACCCATTATGAATGATGGAAATATTAGTGACCTGGTAGCTGTAATGTGGAGATTAAGCTCTGTGTGTGTGTATGTGTGTGTGCGCACGCATGCATGTAACTCAATGGCAAATCCTCCATTTATCTTAGCAGCTGTCTAAAAACACTTAAACACTAAAATTCTAGATATTAGTGAAAAGTCAGATAGCAGAATGAGCCACTGCATTTAATCTAACTCTGAAAATAAGAGCAATGTAATCTTTATCACTGATTTTGAGATTTGTCAAATGCATGAGATGTTTTTAATGCTTCATGAGCCAAAGGCTGCTTTCAGTGACACTGGTGTAATTCAGGCCCCTAAACTGGAACTCTTCCCCTGCAACAGAGTAGAATTTGGCTATAGAGTAACCACCTCAATGCAAGAGTGTGGTGGCTAGCAAACATAGTCTGCCTAACGGTAAACTAACCTAATTCAGTTACATTGGTTTCTTTTGTATGTGCCTGTACACTAAACAACAATACACGGTATTTCATTTTTTAGAAACTGATTCAATGCGCGGACCCCATGAAAACAACCTGTATTGCTTTAAACGTATTGAAACCTGAAGTGAGAGAATCTGCTAGAGACTGGGCTGACGGGAACAATGGGGAACTCGAGCAATTACATTAAAAGATTTGCCGTCATCATGGTGTTGGAAACGCCTTCCAGTGTAAGAGGATGAACTTTATAAATATCTCAAAAAAAAAAAAAAAAAAGTCCAGTTTTTTCCCTTTTAGTGCCTTAAAACCACAAGAACTTTACTAAAAAAGTAGCATCAGGACAGGCTTGCTAGCCACATTTCACTCTAGGAAAAGAAAAATAGCAGTCAAGTGGTGGTAGACCAAAATGACTTGACTAAAAAAAACT